GGCTAACGGAAAGGACACTGAGTCACATGCCCCAGACGCCACGCCCAGTTTCTCTCCTGGCAGCGTGACTGTGGGCACGTGCTGTTGTTCAGGTTGCCCACTGAGCACTCTGAGGGGCACCGTTGGCGGAGACCATGAGGCCAGAGCCTTGCCAGGGGACGGGCCTGTGGCTTGGTCTCAGCTTCCGCAGTCAGAGGGTGGCAGGAGGAGCCGCAGTCCACCCTGCTGTCCTGTTGGGGCAAAGGTGAGCGCTAAGAGCTGGCGCCCATCGTGGTGACAACAACCACCGGAAAGAGACTGGGCACCAGGAAGATGCATTGTCCCTGCAGCTGGGACCACAGTGGCCTCCGCAGCGGCCTCCTCCCCCTCCCCTCCTCTAGAGAATGGCCCCTCCCCTCCTGCCCCCCCAAACCCACCTACGCGCAGAGGGACCCGTGTTCCGTCCTCAGTGGTGCTGCCTGAGGCACCTGGGGTCACGCGGCAGGTGCGTGGGAGGGCTGGCTCTGGGCCCTGCAGTCCCCCAGCCCAGAGGGCAGGTGCTGGGGAAACGATGTGGGGACAGCTGGGGACGAGCGGTGATCGCAGCTCAGAGCCTCCACAGGCTCCTGCCTGGAGGTGCAAAGCCCCAAGACCCCTCGTGCCTCAGTCCTGTGCTGGGAGCATCCCGCGGGGGCTGGGGACCCGTCGTGGGGACCTGATTCCCACAGAGACTCTGGGAGTCACGGTCCCCATTTTCCAGGAGAGACGAGGAGAGACAAGCCCGGTCCCCGTCAGTCACCATCGGGGTCTGAGGGAAGGGGCCTCCTGGGAGTGGCTGGCTCTTGGGGGTCCCGGTGGGGGAGAGGCCATGGTCAGCGCCTCCGTCCCCTTCCTGTGTGGCCTGCTGGCCGTCCATCCTGTGGAAGGAAGGGGCTCTGGGCCGGGATTCCCTCGGCCACCCTGGTCAGCAGTCGGTCAGCAGTTCGCAGGTGCGGGCTGCAGTGGGCAGGCGTACGAGGTCCCTCCCTGCAGCGGAATGCAGGCCCCCGGTGACAATGGGTGTGGCATCTGCTAAGAGCCTGGACTGCAACCCAGGAGGTGTCCCTTAAACATGCCCAGGACAGACAAGGCGGTGAACCTTAGTCCACAGGCTCAGAGGACCCTGCAGGTCTGGTCTCTGTCCCTCTACAGGGGAAGGACAGGGCCCTGGGGTGGTTAGTGTCCCCCACTCGCCCTGCTGTCCTCAGCCCAGGGCTAGGAAATGGGCTGGGGTTGGGCAGCTGGGGTGTCCATCAGGCCAGCAGGCGTTGGCCTTCCTGCACACCACAGCTGCCTGCAGCCATGTCTTAGGGGAGAGCGGTGGCTGTCCCCGGCTAGGAACAGACTCATCCCCAAGGCCTTGTGTATGTGCGAGTGCGCCTGCCCTTTCAACCACATCCCCATCTGTCCATGCTAGTTATGGGAATTGCCAGATGCTTCTGTGCCGCTTGACGAAGTTCCCCAGCCTGGCCCTCAAGCTCCCCTTCCCACGGGTCAGCATCCACATCGGCCAGTGCCCCCACAGCCTGGCTTCCTGGACATGGCAGCTCCTCTATGCAGGGCCCGGCTGAGTCAAGTTGCCCCAGTGGGACCACACTGGTGCCCATGTGCCCGTCCTCCACACAGTGTGCCCTTGACCTGGAGAGATGGCAGGTGACCCTGTGCCCCGCAGAAGGCCAAGCAGCCACTCAGAGGGCTGGGCACGCCGAGAGGGCGGCCTGAAGGAGGCAGAGGACTTCAGGGACCCTGCCCCTGCTCCCAGCAGAATCCCACAGGCCTGGTCCTCCCCAGGGGGCTGGGATGAGGCCAGCAGGGCCGGTGCTCCCTGCGACCAGAATCCGGGACAGGGGGCAGGCGAGGAGGCGGGTGGTGCTTGAAGCCAGAGATGTGGCTCTGCCTCCCGGAGGTCAGTCCCCCGCTGGGTGGACGGGCCAGGGGACAAGCGGGGGGCAGAGCCCAGGCCCCAAGGAGCTTTGCCGTCTCCCCTCCGGCTCTCAAGTGGTCAGCACAGTGTCCTGAATGTGGGTGGCACTCACAGCTCTCCGGCTCTCCCCGAGGGCACAGCCAAGGGGCCCAGGATGGGGGTCGCACGCCCACACCGGCAGCCAGCCCGAGGGTGGACAGTGGTCACCCGGCTCTCCCGCGGCCCAGCCTCAGCAGCTCCTGCCCCCGGGGTGCTCGGCCTCGGCGCCACCCGCAGACCCCTCCCCCACGGGGGCCACACGGGGTTGAGGGGGAGAGACGGGGGAGGGGCCTCACCTGGGCTGTTCCCAGCTTGTGGGGCTGGAGCGACCCTGAGGGACACGCAGGCAGAGGCCCCTGCTGCTTCTCCCCAGGTGGCCGGGCCATCCCCGGGCAGCGCTGGTGGGCAGCACACCCCACCGTCCAAGCCCAGGCCGTCCCGTCACCCGCGGGACCCCGTGCTCCTGGGTCCCCACCTAGCACCACCCAGCGCTGCACCCAATACCAGGGTCTCATGCAGAGACCGGGCGGGTGTGTGCTCCGCTGAGAGCGCTGAGAGACAGCAGAGCCTGGGACACGTGTGACACTGGGACCAGGGTGACAGGCACACATGGCGGGCCACACAGCCCTGTCACAGGTGGGGTGCGGGGGCCTCCTTCATCCCCCAGGCCTCCCTCAGCAGGGAGGGGCCCCCAGGAGCCCCCGGTGAGACCTGCTGGGGACGCCAGGGTCAGCCCTTCCCCCACCCCACAACTCCAAGTCAGCCGAGGCCCCAGAGCCTCCTTATCCGAGGAGGAGGCCAGGGACCTCGAGCCTCCTGGTCCTGCTCACTGGGCCCTCTCCCTCCTGCAGACCCCAGGCAGGACCAGCACCTGGGCCCTCCATGGGAGGGGTGGGGGCTTATGAAGGGGACAGACCCAGCCCCTCTCTGCAAGTGCTCCATGCTCTTGGCTGCCGCAAGAGGGCGGTAGGTCTCGGGGCTGAGCAATCATGGCTGGGTGGGGCTCTGTCCTTTCTTTTTGGTACCAGGGATTGAACCCAGGGGCGCTTAACCACTAAGCCACATCCCAGCACCCCCTTTTTACAACTATTTTTATTTAGAGACAGGGTCTCACTAGGTTGCTTACAGCCTCACTGAACTGCTGAGGCTGGCTTTGAACCTGTGATCCTCCTGCCTCAGCCTCCGGCGCCTCTGGGATTACAGGCGTGCGCCACTGGGCCGGCTAATTCACCTCCCTCTTCACTGACTGTATCTGTGAAGTGGACCTAGTAACCAACAGGCACCTCACAGGCTCCGGTGAGTGGGCTGACATCTGGTGTCCCCGAGGCGTGTGCCCACTGGGGACCAGCTGCTGGGGAAACCGCCTCACGCCCCGGGGCACTCCCAGCTCCTCCTTGGCAAGCAACATGGCCCCTGGGCCACCGCTCACACCCAGTGGTCAACGGGGACACAGGGGCCTTACATGCCGTGTGGCCCAATGCCTTCTCTTGTTCCCCATGAAGGGTTCTTGAGGTTTGGGTTGGGGACAGTCATGAACTTTAAGCTCTAGCTGGCCACGTTTCTCCTAGCAGAACAGGACAACTTGGGAAATGAGAGCCATGTAACTGTCAAAGATTCCTCCTCCTCCCCCTTTTTGCTCTGGCCACTAGGAAGCTCAGAAGCTTCCTGGTTCAACATAACAGGGAGTGCTCAGGGATGGCGACTGCGTTCATCTGTGTCCCAGCTAGACTGATGGATGGGGCCCAGTTGAGATGGCATCTGAGGCCACAATGAGTGAGGCAGGCCATGAAGTGTGGTCAGGTTCCCCTGAGCTAAGAAATGAGCATTGTGACCAGCTGGTGCTGAGCGTGGCTGTGGAGGTGGCTCTGTGCGCGGGGCCCTTTCGCCACCGCTGGGTGAGCAGCTCAGCGGTTACTCCCCGACCCGCCTCCTCCACGAGCACCTTCCCGCCGTCCTGTGTTTTAACGTTTATGTTTTAATATTGGGCCTTCTCTGTGGGAGGCGGGTGTTAATGAGACCAGCTGATGGCTTCACTCAGGCCCGGCCTGGGGCAGGATGGCCGCCCAGGGAGGGTCCCCGTGGTGGGGGGCCCCCATGGTGCTGAGGTCTCCCTCCCCCCGGCTGAGCCTGGGCCGGCCCTGAGCCTCTGCCTTGCAGGGGGTAGGTCCAGGGCAACGGGGAGGGCTGCGTCCTCCTTTCTGGCCTGGACGCTCCCACCCCATCTTCTCTCTGGGGTGACGTCTTCCTGACGCCCGAGGACCTACAGCAAGATGAGTCAGAGTCCCTTCACAGGGCTGCGAAAAGGCAGGCTCCTTGTCCCCACCCTGGATCTGCCACACCAGAGCCCGCAGGTCCACAGGTGTCCCCAGGGCGCGACAGCACGGGTTTGGGGTGGCCAGATCCCGCTGTAACTGGGATCCTTGGCTGTGGCAGCAGCGCCCCCTGCTGGGACGTTCGGAAACACCTGCCATCCGCCCCTCAGGCTGGGAGCGTCCCATCCCTGACACCCCCACCGCCTCCTGCAGGGACCCCAGGGGGGAGAGGAAACAAGACACTGGGCAGGTGCCCTCCTAGCTGCCGGCCCGGCCTTCCATGCCCACCTGCACGGGCGGCACCTCCCCATCGCAGGTCCTGAGGCTGAGCCTCTGCACCCTCTGTGGCGCAGGACACTGGGGGGACCCTCTGGGGGACCTGGCCCCGGTCTCAGAAGCAGGACCCGGGAGGTGAGATCTAACCTGGCCCAAACGGACCTCCAGGCACCTCAGCACCCGGCCGCCAGCCAGGCCTGGCCCACTGCGGTCCTCGGGCACCAGCCTGTCCGCCCTGAGGGACAGTAGCAAGGTGTCCCCCCCCCTCACACCACTGCCCTGCCCCAGGAAGAAGCCTGGCACCGTGGGGTGGATTGTTACAGATCCTGTTTAATAGTCGGGCCTCAGAGTTTGAGAAAGTGTCACAGACGAGCCCACGGCCCTCCAGCTCCCGCCCCAGGGCCCGGCTCGCCTGCCCGTGTCCAGCAGCAGCTGCCAAGAAAGGCCAGCCCCGCTCTGCCCAGTCCCCGGCTCCTCCCCACCCAGACTGGCCAAGCGCTGCCCGAGCACGGCCTGCTGAGCCGGCTGCCCGCCTGGGACCGCGACAGGCCTGGGGACGGGGAGGCCAACCTCCACCACTACCTTCAGTCAAATGTGAAAGACCAGACATGAGCGTCATCGTGGGGAAAGCCGGCCACCCAGGGGACAGTCCTGGCGTCCCAGGGAGCCTGGTCCAACCTCCCCGGTTTCTGACGCACTGTCCTCCGTCGATACACTCGGCCTGGGGGAGGCAGAGAGGCAGGCTGGGGGCCACGGGAGCCTGTCACCGCGTTGCTAAGAGGCCCCCCCCAGCAGGAAGCAGAAGGCCAGAGCCCCCAGGGCTCAATCAGGAAGCAGAGAGGCAGTGAGGGGGCCAGGCCCAGAGAGCCCCCACTCCCTGCCAGCCCAGGACAGGGGGCCTAGAGAGTTGGGTGGGGGGCAGAAGGAGCCAGGAGACCCCCCGGAGGCCTGAGCTCGGAGACCAGCAAGGAGGTGAGACGGCAGAGGCTTCAGTACTTCGGGACCTTGCTGTAGTCTTCAGAATGGATGTGCCGGCACAGACAGATGGACAGCAGCATCCCCAGGAGCTGTGGAGGAGGGGTGGAGGTCAGGGAGGGGTGGAGGCCAGGGAGGGGTGGAGGCCAGGGAGGGATGAGGTCAGGGAGGGATGGAGGGCAGGGAGGGATGGAGGTCAGGGAGGGGGCCCACCAGGCACCCAGCACCCTACCCATTTTCCAGGCCAACCCCCATGTTTCCTCAGCCTGTGCCTCACAGCCACCCTGCAGGGCCAGAAAATGGTGAGGCCCAGAGAGGGACAGTGCCTTGGCTGAAGTCACAGAGCCAGGCAGATCTCAGGCCAGAGCCTCTAGAAGCTCATGGCTGCTTGCCCCTCGGGCCTCAGCCTCGGGGAGGACATGGGCTGGGCAGAGATGAGCAGGAGGACCAAGTGGGGGAGGGACTGACCTCGATGACAGCGACACCCACGCACACGCCCAGGATGATGGCGAGGTTCTCCTGCAGCCACGCCTGCACCCTCTCCATGCAGCCCTGTAGGGAGCACACCGCGTCACCCCTGGGCCTGCGCCACCAGGCCACCCACGCGGGTCCCCGAAGGAGGAACTTCACGAATCCGCAGGAATTGTTAAGTCGATGGCACGAATCAGTGACACCCACGGACCCAGCGCAGCCGGGTGGCCCAGGCGCCCACCACAGGGACGGCAGCGGCACACACCTCCTTGTACACAGGCCAGAGCTCGGGGTCGTTGCGGCCCCCGGGGCTGCTGGTGGTGCTGTTGGCTGTGCTGTTGGCCGGTGCCTGGCAGAAGCCCTTCTTCTGGGACAATGGGTCATCCTCGTCCCCGGTGGCCTGGCAGGAGCAGGGGAAGGTGAGCTCGGTGCGATTCATGAGATCCGCGTTGTCCGTCCAGTTGTGGAAGTCGACCCAGCCGCAGCACTTCACCTGGGCAGAGAGGGGACAGGTCCTTGTGACCACCGACCACCCGGGGCAGGCCACCCTTCCGCAGGGTGGAGCCTCTCCAAGCCAGACGCTCAGATCTGCCACTGAGAGGTCCCTGAGGTGCTAACAGCGGCTCACTAGGGTCCCTGGAGGGTCAAAGGGACAGCTGGGTAAGTGGCATGCCCAGGTGTCCAGTGACAGTCCCCAGCTGTCTCTGGGCCATCTCAGGGTGTTGAGTCCCAGACCAGCAGCCAATGGCCAGCAGGGGGCGTGCCAGGCACGCTGGGCCGCGCAGGCAGCTTCTAGCTCCGCAGGGACCTGGGGGCCTCCTCTCCCGCGGAAAAGGGGGACCCCATGGGGGAGGGGACACCGGTCTGCAGGGCTGGGCGACACCCACAGGCTCCTTCACCAGAGCAAAATGAAGCAGCCCTCCTTGGCCCTCCCAGGGCACGGGGCAGGGACCTCCGGTCTGAGAACCTCAGACGCCAGCATCCTGCGCCCCAGCGCTGCCTCCAAGGCCATGCTCCCAGCAGGACCTCAGCGGCGGGGCGGGGGTGGTGGGGGGTGCCGGAGGGTGGGTGCGGGGGCGGGGGTGCCAGGGAGGGGCCTGATCGGGAGCCCCCGCCTGCAATAGGTGCGCACCCACGCCCGGCCCAGGAGCGCGCGGTCAGGCGCACTCGCGCGGCAGAGTCCAGGCCCCGCGCCCCGCCCCGCGCGCGCCGCCCTCACCTGCGCCTGCACGTAGTCCCAGGCCTCCTGCAGGTTGTCCTGGCCGCTGGCGTTGTAGGTCCGGATGAGCCTCCCCACCACGTCGCCCATCTCCTGCTTCAGCTGCAGAGGGAGCGCGAGGTGACCGCGGGGTGGCCGTCAGATTTCCGGAAACCCGTGGCCGCGGCTCTCACAACCGCAGACTGTCCCCACCTCCAAGAACCCCGGGACGGCTCACTGCTCCAGTGTCCGCCCTTCCTGAACTACTTCCTGGCACTGCCTGGGGCCCGCTTGGTCAGTGCTGACCTCTTCCCCTGCCCTGTGGTCTATTTTGCCCGCAGTAGCCGCATGGCCTTTTAAATGTGCATTTTCTCATGTCACTGCTGAAAAGCTTCCGGTGGCCTCTTCACACTCGGGGGAAATGCCAGCGGCCTCTAAATGACCCAGGGGCCCTCCACCATTTGCCCCTGCTCTTCCCAGGCCTCTCTCAGTTCCGGCTCCTTGCTGTCTTCGCGCTGGGCACGCTCCTGCCCCAGGGCCTTTGCACCTGTTCCCTGTGTGGAAAGCTCTTCCCTAGATGTTACTGTGGCTTGCTCCTCTGCTTCCTTTAGGGCTCTGCTAAATGTCACCTCCTCAGAAAGGCCTTCCTGAACCACTCAGGAAACCCTTGGCCCTTCCCCATCCCCTCCAGCCACCCTCAGTCACCCCCCCCCCCCAATCTACTCTGGTAAGCGTGGGGTGGTTTTCTTCTGAGGCCGCGGACTCGGTGACTTTCTGGGTCTATCTCTCCTCTGCTGGAGTGTCACTGCATGGGGACAGGGTTTCCTCACTAGAGTCCCAAGAGGCTAGAGCAAAGCCGGTCACAGAGTCCTTAGGTTGCGTGGTGGACACTGACCAGCCCATGCATGACCACTGCCCTGGCCAGCACTGGCCACGCCCCCCCTGGGGACTTAGAGCGCAGGCGCTGCGGCACCTCACAGATCCAGGCGGGAGAGGACGGGCTGGACCCACCTCCCTCCCCCAGGGCGGCGCAGCCTCAGAAAAGGGCCCCGGAGACCATGGGACAGGCGCTCGGCCAGGGCAGCGTGGGACACAGCGTCCACATCTGGCCGGTGCCGGTCCCCACCGTGGGCAGGATCTCGGGGTCCCTGACGGTGTGGAGAGGAGCGGGTCTCAGCTAAACCCACGAGAAAACAGATTCACAAATAAGGCCGAGAGAGACCCGGGGACAAAGGTCCAGCCCCAGTGGCGGGGCCGGGGGCTGAGCTGTGGCCTTGTCAGGGCCCTGAGGGGGGCAGCAAAGGAGGAGGGGCAGGGCGCCTCCACCAGCCGCCCCCGGCCCAGCCCTGATGGCTCCTGTGGACCTTGCCCAGGGCCTTCCAGGCACCTGGCGTAGACAGGCTGACCGATGTCACCTGCTGAGCTGAGGAGCCCTGCAGCAGGGACCCAGAGAGGCCACACACCCCAAGGGGACACACTTTCCTGGTGCCTGAGGACCAGGCTGGGGAGCTGGGACAGATCCTCAGGGGACGGGCCTCAGGAGGCTCCGTGGCTCCTCCCCTGCCCCTCTGAAGGACCCCAGGACATCAGCCCCCCCTCACTGAGGCGCCTAGCAGGGTTACAAGCTTCCCTGTGGTGACCCTAACTGCACAGTGCAGGCCGGTGGCCACACCTGCGGGCTCGGGAGGCTGAGGCAGGAGGATCTCGAGTTCAAAGCCAGCCTCAGCAACAGCGAGGTGCTTAGCAACCTCCGAGCGACCCCGTCTCTAAGTAAAATACAAAATAGGGCTGGGATGGGGCTCAGGGGTGGAGTGCCCCTGAGTTCTATTCCTGGTACCAAAAATGTACATTGCAGTCCAGGTGCCGGGGCAAGCAGTTTTCAGAGCATTATCTCAACTTAATCCTCACAGCCGACCTGTGGCCTAGGTATTGACCCTGTTTCCTCTTTAGGAACATACAGGAGACAAGCCCAGAGAGGTTAATTCACTTATCCAAGACCACACAGCCAACAGGTGAAAGATCTGGGGTTTGAGTTCAGGCTTGTCTGAAGCCCTATCAGGATGTAAGCCACATGGTGTCGCCTGGAAGGTCAGAAAGTTTTAGCCGGGACCCAGAGAAGCTAAGGGGGCATGCAGATCTTGGGTCTGTCTGTCCTGCGCAGCCCCCTGCTCCCTGAGGGGGTGGGGAAGGCGGGGATCCCCGTGCATCCTGCAGACAGCCGCCTGCCACATCCTCCCGCCAAGCTCCTCCCCGGCCCCAGCTCTATTTATACCCCGCGGTCACAGCGGGCTTCCCCAGCGCCCAGCCAGGCAGGAGCTGATGGTGGCAGGGCTGTGGTTTCCATGGAGACTCACACCATCCTGCAGCCCAGGGTGTGGCTGAGACCAGCCTGGCCACAGGGCGGAGCCCAGGTGGCCGCTAGTGCTCACCACACAGCTCAGGGCTGAGCCTTGGGACCCCGTGACCAGGGGGGCTGTGCTGGGACCCAGGGACATCACCATGGCAACCAGGGTGAGGTGGAGACCAGCAGGAGCGGGGAGGGACCGGCCGCCTCACTCTGTCCTGCAGGGCTCTCTGCTGGTTGCACCCTGTCCCTTGGCGGCCCATGAGCCCTGCTCCCAGCTGCTGCAGGCATGCCCAGGACCCGCTGCCTTGAGCTGTCCTTGTCCCTCTCGCACAGCCAGTGGCCTCCACGGACCCTCTCTTTCTACTGACAGACTGAGACAAGGTCCTGAGCCTACCTCAGGCTTCTCTGGGCACCCAAGAGAGGGCAAGGGCAAGTGACAGAGAGGGACACTGTGCTGCTGGCAGCCCCGGGAGACCTGGATCCAGCCAAGCCTGTAGCCTGCTCTGCCCTTCAGTAGGGTTCTGTCCCCCAGAAACCACAGTCCCGCCCGGGGGGGGCTGCAGGCCACAGCCCAGTGCAAAGTGGCCACGTGGCCTCGTGTTTAAAATGACGAGGGGGTCCAGTCTCCTCAGCCTGCCACGGGGCACGGTGTCCTGGCCTCGCTCCAAGCCTTCAGAGGGTCCCTTTGCCCCTGCTAACAAGGTCCCCCAGTGCAGTGACCGGCACCCCTGTCTCCCAGGGGCCTCAAGCCAAGCAGTGAGCCCTTCAAGTCCCTGAGGAAGCCGCCCAGGCCTCGGCCCCCTCCCATGTCCCAGGAGGGGGGACCCCTTGGGAGCAGCTGGAGCCCAGGACCACACCTGCTGACCCCGAGGGCCTGGCCACGGCAGGCCACCACCTGGCGAGCCACTCACTGCCTCTGGCTGGGCGGGGACTGCTCCCCCGGAGGCTGGCTCTGATTTCCCTGTCACTTTTCAGAGGCGAAGCTGGCCAGACCCTAGAGCAGTGGCCATGCCAGCCCAGCGCCCACCAGCACGTGGGCACCTGTCAGGAGCGCACCCGGGTTGGGCTCGCCGCCTCGTCAAGGTGTCCCCGGGTGCTCCCAGGGGCATGAGGCTTCCTCCCGTGTCCTGGCCACCTGTGCCTTGGGATGACGGGGCCACTGCTGTGACCACCTGAGTCTGTCCCGAAAGCCGGGCTTCAGCGCCCGCGACCAGCCGCCCAGAATTCAGCAGGGGCCACTCCGTCCCCAAGGCACTGCCAGCCCCGAGGACAGGGGCTGCGGAGCCGCCCTCTCTGGAGGGGCCTCGGTGCCACCCTCCTGCTCCCTGCAGAGAAGGGACAGGCCACCCCCCTGCCTGGCTCAGCTGCTGTCCCTGGAGACCCGGCACCAGGGGCCAGACCAGGCGTCCCCACACCGGGCAGGCAGCCCACAGACCTGCTCTGGCCCTGGGGCTCGTGGACACGGGGACCCTGGGCTTCCTGGTGGGCGGGGGAGGGGAATCTGGGTCCCCGAGGCCCTCTCACTGGAGGGCCTGCCCGCCCTGCCCAGGCCACAGAGCCCTCCACTCAGGCTCTTGGCCCCAGGCCCTGCTCCAGCCCCCCACACGGGCTCCCAGAGCCTCCGCAGCCAACCCACACAGGACGCTGGGCAGTGAGCTACGGCCATTGTGCACACCAAGGGAGCACCCAGCCCCCAGCACCTAGCACTCAGCCCCCAGCACCCAGCCCCCAGCGTGCCCAGTCCTCCTCTGACCTCCTACCCACAGCTGCCAGGGAGGATGATCAGAATCCAGACTGTCAGAGCTGGCAGTGGGCCTAGAGGTCACAGATGGCTCAGAGAGGCTTGGAAACTTGTCCAAAGTCACACAGCCATCACTGGCAGGACCTGTCCCAGAAGCCAGGCCCCCAGAAACAGACCTGGACTCCGTCCACCAAGAGGCCGCGGGAGGAAGCTCAGATAAGGGGACAGCCCGAGGACACGCCTTCACACCTGAATCCAGGTCCCCGCACCAACAGGCCCAGCTGCCCCGCACCGAGCCCTTGTTCCTATGGGTGGCGGCAAGCACTTGCCACCGCACTGTCCCCTCTGCCAGCGTCCTCGGCTCCACAGCACCGCCTGGTGCCCCCTGGGGCTCTGGCCCAGGTTCTAGAAAGGGATGAGGGGGCACATGTCCCACCCAGAGTCACCCCCATCCACGATCCCGAGGGACCCGCGTGGAGAGGCCCAGGAACCATCCCTGCCCATCGGTGTCCCCGCTGCCACCTGGGGAGTGACAACTGCTATTTTTGGGGTGGGGGGGGGGTTTGGAAGGACTTTTTTTTAAAATTCCAGAATCGCGGGGGGGGCCCGGCCCACGTCAAGGCTGACACCTGACCAGGACACGGAGCCCAGAGAGCCGGAGTGACTCACCCGGGGACACAGAGAAGTGCCACCATCTACGGGTGT